TGGAACCCAAGGAACTTCCTGGCATTCTATGTGCTGCTCATATGAACAAAGGTGTGCTCCTTGACTGTCCTCAGGGGCTAGTGTCTCCAAGGTGGCCCTGCTCCCAGGGCTCTGATGTTAGGAATAATGATTTGCTTTCTGAGGACTACAGACACAGTTAGAAGGAAAACTCCCAAGGCTTGACTGATGTCTGGGCTTGGCGTACCAGCAAAGCCACATAAAACACACAGGAACATCTGTCCTTGGGTCCCACATGGGCCGGATTCATGTCTACAGACACAAGTACGTCATGCTTTCTGAATAACTTTGCACACTCTGGACCTTCTGTTCTCAGGGTGCTCACAGACTAGGTCCATGCTTGCTGAAATAAGGCCATTTATGGGGACAGCAGTATCTGCAGGTGCCCTATGCAGTGTGGATGACAAGGGGCATCAAGGAGGGCCTTGTGAACTCAGAATCTGCATCAGCAAGGCCTCCAAGTGCTAACATGAGGTCACTATGGATGACAAGGAATATTTATCCTCTGTCCTTCCCATTGTCTTTCTAGACACTGAGCTCTGGGCAAAAATCAATCTCTCTTCATACATTTGACACTGGCATAACAGGCACAAAACAGAAGGGTTACTACATATAGCTGTGGACAGAAGGGTGTCAGCTTTCATCAGTATAGGCTCAGATGGCTTTAAAGGAAAAATAACTACTCGTCAGTAAAGATTGATATATACTGCATCTTTGTCAGATGGATGTCCATGCCGCTTTTCACATTTTTTTTAGATGCACTCTGGATATGTAGCCTAGGCTGGCCCAGAACTCTTTACCAACACTCCTGGCTCATCATCCTATAGGACAGGAATTATAGGCATGAAATCAGTTGTGAGTATCATGTAATCACATTATCATTTTTTTGCAATTTAGCCTTTAATTAAATAATAACATTATCCAGGGTGTGTATCACCACTAGAACTGCTGTTTACTTAATAGAGCTATCTATGATTCTCAGGTCTTTATCCAGTCACATGGATGACTTCCTATATGAACAATATCAAATTCAAGATGGGGCAAAAGACTGTGCAGATTATCAGTGGAAATCTGAGTGCTAAGGGTGGTAAGAGTTTAATGAAAAAGTGAAAGAAAAAGGTATGATTTCATCTGGCCAGTGTTTGGAGATGCAGAGGAGGGTCAGCAATTGATCACTAGCACTGCCCACTCTCTGATAAATTCCATTTAGAAGCTAAGTCCTCAATTTAAGGATGGTCCCCACCCAAGAGATTGTTGTTATCTTCTTAAGATGGTTTCATGACAGCAGGGACTTTTCACACACAGTAGAGATAACACCATCACCGGAGTGAAAAGTCTATTGCCATTGGGGATGGACTTTATAGCATGGTAGTGTTTTGTTTTCCCCCCAATATCTGTCAGTTTTGAGCTCCTCTCCAAACTACCCCCCATCTGGCTAGCTCAGATGGGAACTCCACCTTTCTTCAGCCAAGAAGCTTGTCATCTCTGGGGCCACGACTCACAGCTTTAATCCCAGCACTCCAGAGGCAGAGGCAGAGGCAGGTGGATCTCTGAGTTTGAGGCAAGCCCAGTCTACAGAGTGAGTTCAAAGATAGCCAGTGTTACACGGAAAAACCCCATCTCAACAAAACCAAACCAAGCCAAAAAGGAAGCTCGACATCCTGGAATTTAGCCACTATTTTGAGGCTACAGCTTCATCATTGCCACTCCCAAACCCAAGGTCTCGTCTTCCAAGACATTTAATAAATTATGGGCCCAGGTCCTATGCGTTCCAATATCCCTGTACCTTCCTGCAATCATAGACAGTACTGGAATATCATCCTGATGATTTTTTTCCTATTCATGAATGCCTACGATAAACCTTAGTTTAAAACATAAGCACAAGAAGAGATTAACAGCTACTAATACAATTCAATTATGACAATATTAATAAAAGTTATATGAATGTGGTCTCCTGAAATAGTGTGTATTTGGATGTTGTGGTAACTGTGACTGTGGAAATGGAATTCTTACATATGAGTAGATTACTATTGTAGAGTATCGTTCGTACGTCTTAAAGTTTCTACTGCTGTGAGGAGACACTGTGACCACGGCAACTCTTCTAAAGAAAACATTTAGTTGGGGTAGCTCGCTGACAGTTTCAGAGGTTCAATCCATTATCATCATGGCAGGAAGCATGGTGTCATGCAAGTGGACATGGTGCTGGAGAAAAAGCAGAGAGTCTTACATCTTGTGGGCAACAGGAAGTAAACAGAGCGAAACTTGAGAAAAAGACCTCAAATCCCGCCCTCAGAATGGCATACTTCTTCCCAAAGGCCACACCCACTCCAACAGGCCACATCTTCTGATAGTGCCACTCCCTCTGGGGGCCCTTGTCTTTCAAACCACAACGTGGATAGTACTCGAGAAAAGATTTGTTTTCTGTTCCTGGAGCTCCTCTACTGTCCCATGAAGGACATGTTTGTCAGCGTGCAACCTTCATTCCAGAGTCCTTGCCTGACAAAGCCTCTAAGGGTCTCAGTGTTTCCATGCGTACACTGCAGTGACAGGTATATTCACGTATTTGCTAAGAGGACTTGTGCACAATGTGCCTGACACACGACAGGCATTCTGTGAAGTTTTTCCTTATGGCTGCTTTCTATTTTGGCACAAAACTGTCCCTCATTTACAGACTATAAAAGCGAAATAACGGTGCCAGTCATGGACAGGCTACATGGACCCTATTCAGCTCACTGCATAGCTCTTTACAGACATCTATAACTATTGCAACTCACATGATTCTACATGAAATACTTTCAAGATCTGATTGGGTGGATGAGGAGATATTTAGCATTCTGTTTCATCACTGGTAGGTCTGCAGCTAAATTAACTCTAATGTTTGCAATGAAGGCTTACAGAAGGCTGGATTAAGGAGACAATGGTCAAAAGGATAACTTCATGCAGTTAAAGTCGTCCTTTAACTGCAAGCCCTCTTACTCTCTAGTTTTGATAGCTGTCTTGCCACTAAATTCGTAGGAATTCTGTAGGTTATAGAGAAAATAGTTAATACTGCCTTTTATCTGATTTTGATATTGAGGATTCATGATTCCTACCGTCGAATGGCATCTCCATATGAATGACAACATTCCTTGCCTTATTAGATTTATTTTTTATTTTATGTGTATGAGTATTTGCTGCTACCATCGCCACCAGGCTTCGGTTTCTTTCTTAAGCTTAGGTGCAAGTTTGTATTTTCTGAACTCTCTTTTAGAGTCTTCATGTTAGGCATTGATAAATATGCTAAGAAGGAGGCTGAGGTAGCACATGCCATTTATCCCAGCACTTGGGAGACAGAGACAGGTGGATCTCGTGAGTTCGAGGCTAGCCTGGTCTACAGAGTGAGTTCCAGGACAGCCAAGGAAACACAGAGAAAAACTGTCTCATAAAACAAAAATAAAAGAGTAAGAAACTGATAATAAAAAATGTACGATCCTTTAAAGTGGCAGATGGTAACCTGACAATTAGTATATAATGAACATAAAATTTTAAGGAAACTGTTGGGACTCTCTTGTTATTTCATCAACCCAGAGGAAAAAGCGATTGCATCCAGAGTTGGGTGCCAGCTTGGACTACCCAATAAGTTCCAGAGTAAGATTCTATGTCAAAAGAAGATAGAGATGGAGAAGAATGGAGATTTCTATGGCTGCACACAGTAACGATGGATTTATGAAAACACTGTGGTTTGATGACACTGGCTCCCATAGGCTCATATATTTGAATACTCGGTCTTGGAAGTGTGTCACTGGGGATAAGATTCGTAATTTAGGTATCAAAAGACTCCTGCACTTTTCAGTGTGTAAGCTGCTTTGGGAAAACAAGTACAGCCTCCAGCTGCACATACAAACATCAATGGAAAAAAAACCTTTTTTTCTACTCTGCAAGCCATGGAATCTCCTAAGGGGGGGTTTGTTTCACGGGTATGGAAACCCAGTAAAGTGTTACCAGGCATGGAGGCTCCCATCTGTAATCCCAGCACTTAGGCGACTCAGGCAAGAGAATTAGGAAGGAATTCAGTCATCTTTGGCTACAGAGATGTCGAGGAGAGATAATTTCTAAAATTAATAGGTTAACAATTTAAAAAGTAATGAACTTCCCCCTGTGAAGTCGCCAGCAGTCCGTAAGGGCTACAAAGAGGCAGCGCTGGGGCCGACTCAGCTCCCGGTTGGGAGGTGCTGGAGGGCAGCTGCTCCGGTGGCGCTCGCCTCCAGGTCCCGCCTAAGTCCAGGATGCACACTTCCGCCGCCTCACCTGTTGCGCCCGGCCCTCCCCGAGCCTCTCCGCGTTGCACCCGGCCCTCCTTCCCTCCCTGAGCCTCTCAGCGCCTGCAGAGCTGGGCGGAGGGACCGTGGGATCTCACGCCCGACCGAGTCCCCGGAGCGCGCGCTTCGACCACGATCCGCCGAGCGCACAAAACCCGGAAAATCCCTTCGCACCTTCAGCGCAGTCCTATCGCAAGCCCCTTTGTGCGCGCTCCCGCCAGGGCCCTGGCTCCCGGGCGCACGAATGCCCCTCCCCCTTCCCCTGCCCCGCCCCCTCCCTGCGCCCCTCCCGGCCCGGCCCGCGCCGCGCTTTGCAAGTTGCAAAGCTTCTTCAGGGGCGGCCGGCGGCGGTGACGGTGGTGGCGGTGGCCGGGACACCTGGAGGCTTCCTGGTGGTGCTCGGCCAGCCCGTGCTGCCCGGAGTGCGTGGGTGTGGACCTCAGTGGCTGCGCTTTTTCCAAGTTGCTTACCTCGTTCTGCTGCGGCCGGGACGCCTGGAGGCTCCCTGGTGCTGCCCAGAGTGCCCCGGCGTGGGGCCTTCGCGCTGCGCTTTCCAAGTTGCAAAGCTCGTTCTGCAGCGGCCTGGACACCTGGAGCCTCCCTGGTGCTGCCCGGAGTGCATGGCCTCGGACTTCAGAGGCTGTAGGGACGGAGTGAATGGCCGCGGACCTCAGAGGCTGCAGGGGCTGAGCGTCCCGCACCATGGAGGGCGCCGAGCCCCGCGCGCGGCAGGAGCGCCCAGGCGAAGCCCACGGTGCCCGCCTAGTGGAGGTGCGGTTGAGCGGAGGCGCCCCTTGGGGCTTCACCCTGAAGGGCGGTCGCGAGCACGGCGAGCCTCTGATCATCACTAAGGTAAGGCGACCTCGGGGTCTGCACGGTGACTGTCCCGAAGGGGTCCCCAATGCAGAAGGCTCGTCCGGGTATTTGGGCGCTGCAGATGGGGCGTCCGGTGCGCAGCCTCCCTTGATGGGGGCGCATATGCAGGGGTCACCTGTGCATGGAGTCTGGTTCCGGGTCTCGGGGCACTGCTGGGGGCGCATCTGCAGGGGTCACCTGTGCCTGGAGATTGGGGTCTGGGCAGCCATAGCTGTGTGGTTCTGGCTCCAGCCTGGCGGCCCTCGGGCTACTCCCAACGTGGCTGGGAGTTGCAATGGCTCCCGTTCCGCCCCCCCCCCCCCCCCCCCCCCCTCGAGGAAGGGCCTGGTTGTCCCCTGTAACTCCTGGCCTGGCCAGACCTACACCTGCGAGGCTGCCAGGAGAGGAAGGAAAATAAACAGTTCCAGGATCCAGGGACTGGGCATACATAGCCTTTGCGCTTGTTTGCTTTTTAGGGCCCCTGGTTGGTTACTTTTTTGCTTTTTACCTTTTGGTCTGCACGGGTTTTTTAGTCTGAAACCTGTTTTTAGGGCCCCTGATTGGTTGTTTTTTTGCTTTTTACCTTTTGGTCTGCACCGGTTTTTAGTCTGAAACCGATACTAGAAACTCCTGCCAGTCAGCTTCACTATTCCCAGGAGCTCATCCGTGTTTGCTGACTTTCCGCCTCCTCTCCTACACGCACTCGCTCTGGATGCTCAGCACCTTGATTGGGACTTCTCAGCGTGCTTATAAAATAGAATTTGAGTTCTGATCATAAGGAAAGAGACCTTAGTCTCACTTGCATGCATGTGTGTGTGTTTAGGTTGCTTTAGAACGGGAATGCTCTTAAAACGCAATCCATCTCGGTACTTACCAACTAAACGTGTATAAACCTGTATCAACAGACAACATGCCAATCTCTCAGGTCTTCTGGTTAAGGGAAACGAGAGCCTGTTCTGGGCAGAGCTGAGTCTCACTAAGGGCAAAGTCTCCTTGAGAATGTCATCATTTCTGTTTCCTAGAGGTGTTGGGTGGTATGAAGGTGACTGACAATTTTCATGCATAATAGTGCCTCACCTGGCATATATTTATTTTCTGCTCCTCTCTCCCGCCCTTTCTCTTTCACTCTCTCTCTTCCTCCCCGCCCCCCTCTCTGCCCAAGTATTCCCAGCATCTGGCCTTCAACTGTCTGTGTAGCTCAGAGATGACCTTGAACTTCTGACTCTCCTGCCTCCATTTTCCCTTTTCCCTACCACGTCTGGCTGACGTCTTTAGAACAACAAAAAAAAGATCCCACACATCTTCTTCACCCTTGTTTGAGAAGCAGATGGAATGAACTATACATCAATTAATATGAAGTTTTAGGATTTTTAAGACATTTTTAAGTGTGTTTGTTTTCTTTTACATTTATGTGTGTTTTGCCTGAATGTACATGTGCCTTCTATAAGAGCAGCAAGTGCTCCTAACCACTGAGCTAACTCTCTGGCCCCTAGCCTCGGGTCTTTTACCATATAAGTAAGTTGGAGATTACTTTAAATGGGATGATTTGCTAAGGAGATTTTCATCCTCCTTTGCACAAGATAGTTCTAGTTTTACAAACTCTGCATGCTTGATGGCCTCCTGGCTCTCTGCTTTTTATAAATGGAAGTATATGTTAATCAAACTCAGCCTCACTAAGCTGTACTACCCCTGCATAATTTTTGTAAGTGACTCAGTATAACTGAAAAATGATGGTTTTGTTTGCTTAGAATGGATGGGACTCAGAACAACTTGTGGTTTTTGTATTTTCATGCATATATACACATTCAATTGCTGTTGCTCCTGTGTTTGTGTACACACATGTATTTTCACATGTTCTGTTGTTTCTACATATATTAACATATAATATATACATATATAAATATATATACATATATATTAACAGTATTTCAAATACCTGCCAATGCTTTAAGATTAAGGACACACACACACAGGCTGTGAAAATAAGAACGACAGCCAAGTGGTGGTGGCGCACTCCTTTATTTAATCCCAGCTCTTTGGAGGCAGAGGCAGGCTCTGTGAGTTTGAGGCCAGACTGGTCTACAAGAGTGAGTTCTCCAGGACAGCCAAGGCTACACACAAAGAAACCCTGTCTTGGAAAGAAAAAAAAAGAACAAAAGTTTATCAGTGGTGCTTACTTAGAACATGACGCTGATAATTAATTGCCACTTTATTTAAAAATGACGGAGGGTTGAATGGAGAGATGGCTCAGTGGTTTAAAACACTGGTTGCTTTTCCAGAGGGCGCAGGTTCAATTTCTAGCAACCTGCACGGTGGCTCACAACTTCTGCAAATCTGGTCCTAGGAGATCTGTCACCTTCTTCTGGCCTCCTCTGGCATTGTCCGCACGCGGTATGCAGACATACATTCAGACAAACATTTCTATGTGTGAAATAAAAATAAATAAAATCTAAAAAAATGATGAAGGAAATGTGTCTATTTACAGCCACTTACAAGGTAGAAATCAACTGCTCTGATAGATACCAGGGGAAATTGTTCTTCAACTGGAGTTCACTTTCAACTTTTCCTCTTCCAGTAGCTATTGTAATGCCATTGAAGCTTATTAAATACTTTTTCTAATAGTTCTTTTTCCATTAAAAAAACATCTATGCAATTTTTATATGTTGGGTTCTTGGTAGACCACAAGGATTTTCTGTTTAACTTTCTATTAATTATAATTATTTTCCGTTTAATTTTCTATTAATTATAATTATTCTACTATTTTTATATTTATATACTATTAATTATAATTATGATTTTGTTAATTGATGCTTTTATGTTTAGCTGATTCTGATTTGGGAGTAGCTTGACCCAATTTAAGAGGACACATTCTTTTGTTAATGATGTGACTATCGTTTGAAGATCTCATATGAGCATGTATCTCGGAACTGGTAAAATGGTGTACTCTGAGATCACAGATCTGGTGAATCCTAGGCAGGGTCTTGAAAGTCAGACTCTGATGGTGAATATCAGTCTTGCTTCCTGTCCAGTAGGCGCTGTCTGCTTTTGACTGAACTCTCCTGCTATGTTATTTATGTTGAGTAACTCAACACCATCTGCAGGCTGACAGTTTTTCCATCTTGGTACCAAGGGTATTCTGCTGTGGGGTCTATTCTGTGTACTGTCATCCATTTAGCTGCTTCCTTGGCTTCTACCCACTGATGGAAGGCCATTGGCACCTGTCTCCAGGTATGGCAATCTGAATGTCCCCAGACATTGACACATGCCCCCAACCTAGTTATATATAAATTGCTTTGTTAGGCTAATGGTGCGTTGCCTTTGCTTTGAAGGACTTTGGGATTTTATTCTTTTGGAAAACAGTGGCCTTGAGGGTGGTGTGTTTGGAGGCCCTTGGCATTTCCAGTGTTTTCATGTGGGTCTGTTTTTCTTTCTGAGATGAACTCTTGGCTCCGAGAAAAGGCTTTATTTACACAGTAAATTGCAAACAAGTCTCTGCTTCATCTGCATTTTTGTAGTTGGAGAAAGGAAGTTGAGAGCAGAGACTTCCCAGTACTGTGCTTTATGGACAATCAGAGTAGACGCTGAGGAAGGTCTCCTATTCTCTGGAATTGGTTTGAAGTTAAAGGACATTAACTTCCCAGAGGAGTCACATTCATAGAATTTCAGAAGCATGCCTGAAACTCTACAAGACTTCTGCCGAAAGACGATATTATTAGGACTCATAACTGCTGAGAATCTTTATAATAATTTGCAGCTTGAAATCTCGCTACCATTAACAAACAAGCAGATGCACACACACACACACACACACACACACACACACACACACATAAAACTGGGAAGCACAAAAACACGCTAAAGCCCATTTTCTCATGCCGATGTTGCAGAAAGAACAGGAACAACCTGCAAGTTATAAGAGGTCTCATGATTTGGTGATATTCTTTAAGAGTATAGGTGGATTTAGGAAATCCCAGGGACCTGAAATATTACACTTTAGCTGAGTTGGATTTGCAGGTAGGTTGAGCCGTTGTGGCCTTCTGGTCTTTTTTGTTTGTTTGGTTTGTTTTCTTCATCCACCCCCCCCACACACACCTTTGTACTACATTCATTATGGAAACAGGGCTTTGCAAGTGCTCTACCACTGAGGTACATCTGTAGCCAATCTTGCTGGTGTTCCTTGAGAATTTCGGTGGGGGTGGAGACTGAGCTTCTTTCTGTGACATCACTTACTGGAGAGTCCCATCCACCAGCTGGGTATCAGGAGGCCCCCTGCAATCTCAGGAATGTTTATCAAGGGAGAGGGTATGAAGCCCTGGCTTTGGCTATTCATAATTTATTAAATCCCATCCCCCATGACAGAAACTGCTAACAGAGGCCCTAAGCATCCTATATAATAATACCTTAGTGATTGAAAAAGGAGTCTCTAGTTTAGAGGCTGCGGAGTTAAGGTCTTGGTGGCCTGGGATCATAAATGTTGGAATAGTAGCCCAGTTGTTTGCCCTTGTACCCTTTGGCTTATTTGTTTGTTTTTAAAAAGGTTTATTTTATTTGAATGAGTGTTTTGCCTGCATGGAAGCGTACCGTGTGAGTCCAATATCCATAGAGGCCAGGAGATTGGTTGGATTGGGAATGGCGGAGGGTTGTGAGCTGCTGTGTGAGTGTTGGAAACTGAACCTGAGCCCCCTTCAAAAGCAAGCAGTGCTCCTAACCACTGCGGTATCTTCCCAACCCTTGTTTAGGAGATTCGGTCTCCTCCGCAGTCTACGTGTGCTTCAGACTTGGTCCATAGGGAAAGACGACCTTGAACATTTTGTCTGCCCTGCCTCACCTAGGATTACTGGTCTCTGCCAACACAGGGGTACAGTGCTTGGGATTTTGTGAGAAAGGTGCTTTACCTTATGAGATCCATTCCTATCTCCTTTGTTTACTTTTGAGACAGAGTCTGGCCAAACTGGCCTGGAAATCTGTTAAAGGGCTTGAGTCTCCTGAGTGCTGAG